TCACACTGTGTTTCATACAATCATTCCCATGCATTATATTTTATAAATTTAATCTCCATTGGACTAAGTCCTTCATTACCCTACCTTTCCAGGGCCCTGCAAGATCCTTCCCATTTCCTTTACTTCCTCCACCCACCTACCAAATTGTGCGACACTATGATTTACCCCCTTGACCATCCTCACCCTTCTGCTCCTATCCCTTCCCGCCTGGAATCCCCATACGTTTTACTAGTTATCCTTGTCTTATGCAGTATTTGTCCTTATGAGACTGAGTTGGTTCACTCAGCATAGAGTCATTTCCTTAAAAAAGAAAACTTTGCATCATGGCCCAGTATGTGGTATCCTTTATCTTAGCACTTTTGCCAAACCCTCTTTTTCAGTTTTCTAATAGTTGTAACTTTTAGAAGAAAGAAAAGTGAAAGATGTGAACTTTATCCAAATCTGCGGCTTTGTTCACAATAGCAAAGAGCCGGAAACAACCTAAGCACCATCAACCAACGAATGGATAGAGAAGCTCTGGTATATTCACACATTGGAATACTATGAAGCATGGAAAAAACAGGAACTCATGCAGTATTACTCAACCTGGGTGACCCTAGAGGACATTATGCTGAGTGAAATATCTCAGTCACAAAAAGACAAATACTGCATGGTGCCACTGTTGTAGAACGGGACTGACATCAGGGTTGGGGTAAGACTTAGAAAAAAATAGATAAATTATGTATACTGCATTGAAATAGATGAGGGAGAGAACAGTTTAAAAGCAAAATATGACTGGGTATTGTAGTTATGACAAGAGTCCAGAATGAAGGTTGCATAGTGGAGTGTACTCAGACGGGGGGATAGTATACCAATGAGAGAATTTTTCTTTTATTTTTCAAAGAGTTGAGCAAACTGGGGGAGAGGGATGGGCAGGGAGAAAAGTGCAACAATGAATGAATGGAAACCCAAAATCTCTGTAAATGTTCATTAAAATTAATTAAGAAAAGAATCTACAATTAGAATTGCTATTCCTTTAGAAATATTTTATCATTTAAAAATATAGACTTTTAAGTGGAAACCCTTCTATATAATGACATAGATATTTCTATACTTTTTTAGGTGAAAAGGAGAGATACTTTGCTTGTTCTAGCGAAGGATTTCCCCGAAGGGATGAAATATTCAAGTTATATCTCTCCTCATCGAGCTTGGTAAGGGCCAGGAAAAGCACATACTACCAAGTCTTCCCAGTCCTGTTAATTCTGCCTTCAAAACCAGTAACTTTGTAGCACGTATTTTCAAATAATATTCTGCCATTTTCAGACTTGAGGAGGGGAAATTTAAACACGTAACACTTTTTAGAGTCAGAATCTGTGTAATGCAGAAACAGAAAAAGATAACTCAAATATTTTATGTTAAAATTAGTGACAGAAAATTGGTAATACTGTATACCCTGTCAAAAGTGAGAAATTTGCAAGACCCTGAAAAACAAAAGTTGTGGCAAGTCCAGCATATTCCAGTTTTCAGTATAGATAATAATCTTTTCTGTCCTTTTCACTTCATGCCTTTAGTAATATAACTTCACTTAGCTTTTCAGCACCTTGGTGGTTCAGTGTTGTTTTTATTTAAAAAAGAATACAACTTCTTACTTTTCAAGAGCCCTGGTAGCTTAGAGGAAACGAGTTGAGTTGGTAACTCAAAGCATACATGGTTCAAATCTACCAGCTACTCCATGGGGGGGGGGGATGTCCTCTTGTGGGATTAACCACCTCTGAAAATCAGCTGGAGGGGTCAGCTGTTGGTTGGTTCTAACTCAAGAGCACACAATAACAATGCAATTTCTTTAAAAAAATAAAACCACTAAAACAACGGCTGAAAGGATCTTCAATTTTTTACAAGACTGATTTATCTTTTTGAAGTTTGACAGATGTAGCCTGTTAAAGACAGTCACCTTGAATGACATTGAGAAAGAATCTTTTTACTTTTAGCAGTAGCATCACGTGGCAGTTGTCACAATGACTTGATTCCTTTGATTTAAATAAGACTTCACAACAAAGCAAACAAGGAAACACAATTAGAAGTCCTAAG